CTCATAATCGAAGTTCGAATAAACTGTCTAATTATGTTCATTTAATTACTGGAACAGACATTGTGATCAAATAATTCTTTATAATATTAAAAGTAGTAATTTCAATTAACTACCTACAACATATCTAGATTATAAACATTCACTTGGAATTGACAATTCATACACTCGTTAGTTTTATTAGTCAACATCAAGAGTAATATTTAAGGCAGGAATATCTTTACTTTTCTACATCGTAATTTCACTCATGTTTGAACGTAAATTTCTTGTATAGCATAAAACGCTTTACCAGAAGCAAGAGAGCATATACGCAAATATATTGTAATGTATATAACTAGATGTTATAAAAAATAAATGAAGGACTAGGAATCTCAATGGATCCTGATGGATCTTGGAACCTTCATTGGATGATGCTTGCGTACCAAGAAACGTTCCGTATTTATAAAAGTTTTCCAAAAGTGCTTCTTTCTCAACCCACCTATCATACAACCATTTAGACAATAATTCTGGTTCTCGAGGAACCTAAAAACGACGACACGATGAAGTATTTCTATGTAAGACAAAAATAAACAACACGTAATATTTTTAAACTTACCACTGAACTAGGAAACACTCGATAAAATAGGACTGTTTCACATGGCGGTCTAGAACCAGTTATAATTGTAGGTAAATCAATTGGTTTACCTTGAGGATATGCTATTGTTATATCAAGAACCCAATTAATTTCTGGCTTAGCCACTGTCATACCTGTATCAAGAACAATATCTATGTATTCGATAGAAATTTAATAAAGTATGAGATAATAACAAAGTGTAATTTATTAAATTATTTACTTGCTCTATTGTCTAATTGTTGTTCTGACGTATTATTATCGTGTGATGGACCAAGCGTATCAAATATAGTTTGCATTGCTCCTACTCGAGGCAAAGATACATTTTCAAGGATAGGTAGATTATTTTTTTTAGCATATTTTTGCGAAGTTTCCCGCCTTTTACATAAAAAACCTCCTTCTGGGAACAAGACCATCCACTTTCTACCGAGCGGAATATACGATGTTTTCAGATGTTTTTCTAGTTGTCTTAAACTCTCCTCTCTCCGTTTGCGACCCTAATGAACATTAGGATAAGAATATCTCGATTATGCTAATTTCATGTACAATAGAACGTCAATTATCCAAACTAATAGAGAAGTTATCAAAGCAGTATCGACTTACAGATACAATAAAGAAATCCTTGTGTAAGACAGAGACTATACCAAAATTGGTAAATTTAAAAATCCTGTCCATGATCCACATCAGATTAGGCAATACATTTGGTTTTGAATTAAATGTTGTCATTAACATAGGAACATCCCCAGTACTTTGATGGTTTGCTATTACTAGTGTTCTTTCACTAATGATTTTCTGTATATCATCACCTTGTTCTATGACTGTTGATTTAAGATTTTTTTGTGTTTTCATATTAACATTTACACTATAATTAATATACTTTTTAATGATACATCTATTATTCATATACTTACTATCATAGCCTGCAGACCAGGTCCACATCGAGACCATTGCTAATAACCAATGGAAAAATAGACCTTCGATCCGCCAATATACTTGGGGTTGATAAACTTTTACAGGGAATAATAGTGTCATCCATACTACATACGTAGGTATACAATAAGCATTGTTTAATATCACAAAGCAGGTTCGAGCAATACATTTTATAAAAGTCAACACGTTACCGATTACCCTGAAAGACACAAATTATTGTAATCTCTTTTTAAACAATAACACCAATCAGAGTAATAAATTGTTATTAAAAACAGATAAGTTTAATCTAGAGAAAATATTTCTAAATATTTTTCTAATATTTTTTTTCATTTTCGTTACTTAACTTTTCAAAATTTATAATCATTTGATTTAAGTCTTTCATAATGATATGGAACAATGGCAAGTGTAGCAGCAAATCACTGACCGATCAACTTTATACTCTCTTTTATATTAAAACTTAAAACTGATTTATCATCAATAAATATGCAAATTGATCTATAAACGAAAAGTGAGTTTACAATGCTAATTTTTTTATTGGTTTTAAATTATCAAGTTTGGCTTGGTTTATTTTGGAACCAAAAAAAAAAAAAACAGATAATATTATCATTACTTGTAATCCAATTTGATACTTTTTCAACAATTTTTGGAAACGTTACTCTTAAATAGATAATGTCTAAAAAATTTCGTACGAGACGAATTATTTCTCTTCTATTCTTACATTTCAACGTTGATCTATTAGAGGAACAATTTCAAGTAAAATTTTCTCATGTCAATTATATATACACATAATACACAAGAAACTTCATTATTTACAAATTGTAAACATCATTGAAACGTCGCGAACAATAATGTGCCACATTACAACGTTAACGACGTTTCAATTTTGCGAAAAAAAATTACATGATTCAGCTTATGTTTATTATCGATTCATTTGATACGGTATTACTAATTTAACCGAATGACGCGACCGCGAGCTTACGCGACGAAAATTAAGGAAGGAAGATCGATTAACGTAAAGTAATAAACGAAAATGAAATTTAAATTTCACCTTGAAATATATGCAGATATCACGCGATACGCTATGGGCAAATTTTTTATTATCTAGATAAAAGAAACTTCGAAAGACTAACAACAACGAACAACCTTTGATTCGTTGTATAAAAATTATAATTTGAATCATAGAGCGAACTTATATCGAAAGAATAAAAAACTGAACCGCGTAACAATTTGTCAGATTAAACCATGATTAAACGTTTCGTACAGTTTTTATTCGTTGTCTATCGTTCGAATAAACTTCTCGTTGGCTATGCGTGACCGGCTCTTCCACGATTTTAGGTTAAGAATAATTATCGTCGAATCGAATGTCAAACGTAGCCTTATCGTAAAACGTCTTGATGACACGTAAACGAGATTATTTTTTTTTTCTTTCCTCGTTTTTGGGCGATACATGGGAATGGAATAAGCTGTCGCGAAACGCGTGTTAATGGAGAACGGTCAACTTACCTCGCGAAAGTTGAAGAGGAAAAGTCAGTCATTTTTTAAGGACACCGCTCGTGACGCGAACTCCGGCAATTTTCATCCACGTTTTTTCGACCATAGCATTTTCCCCGGTGCACAATATTACATAATAAAGACCATCAGATCGGATGACACAGAAGATCCGCGTGCTGTTTACATGAGACTCTGACTCTTAATAACAACGCCGATACAGCGAAATCCAATCAACCTGTCGCGCGGCTTTATCGTGAAATAGTTGTTCGTGATATCGGCGATTTTAATTCACGCACGGCTAGCAAGATAAAGCCATGGCTTGACGAATTTTTATCAGCTCGTTAACCATTCGCATGACGTTTTTTTTCGGGATATACACCATAGTTCCGTCACGTCTGCTATACACGAAATCACCACAGCGGACGTAACGTAAATAGAATGGCGACGAAAGTTAACAAGGCTGGTGCAACAAAATTGTTGCGTTCGATTCGATCGATGTTTAACTTCCGTAGAAGTAAACAATCAATTTGCTATTCGCGACTTAGAACGACTGTAAACGACTGTTCAAGAAGGATATATGTTTCATAATCTGTCTGTCCGTGTGTCGCAGGTGCATGATTTCGAGATATACGACGTTTTTTCTACGAAAACATGATAACGATATCTATAAGAGTTTGAACAGTTTCACTATTCCACTCTTTGTACGATTTTCCTACGAGATACGAACAACGGTATCGTACGTCGACGAGAAGAAGAGACCTGAAAGGTATGCGGGTCTCATTGGTCGGTGCGCCATCTTCCCTATCGCAGTCTCTATGCAAAATGATAAGAAATTTTAATTGTACAAACAATGAGTTCACTTCTTTCTTTGTCCTCGTTTCCTATAAAGAGAACGACCTGCATTTACATGACAATGAACAATCAAAAAATCATACGATATCGAAAGAAATTTACAAATTAACAGACTTGTATATATTATTAAATTATTCTGCGATTAATTTTCTTTCACTGAACAATCGAATATACTTTAAGCGATTTACTAATTACCATATCATTTTTCATCTTACTGTGATTTATAAATCAATTGCCACATAATTTAACCAGCAACTACCTCAATAGGTCTCATCATCTCATCAGTCTACAATACATAATAGACACGAAATCATCGCAGCGAATTTAATGTAAATAAAATGGCGATGAAAGTTAATTGATGAAAAAAGTATCGTAGTACGCGATGTTCAACATATATTAGATACAATTCATTGATCGTTCATAATTGGGAAAAAATAATGTAAAAAAAGAAGGGACGTTCCATAATTTATCTACTGTAAAGTATATTAGGAAATGCTGAACGTATGACTTTGTAAATCACGATGTTCCAATCAAGAAAACGTGATAGCGATACGGCAATGTTTGCAGGAGTTCGCGCGTTTGCACAACTTCACCTTTCGTACAATTTGTTACTGAAATGCGTTCAACGATATCTTCATTGTATAATATACTTCTTATACGCGTAAATCTTGTCTACCAAAAAAAAGAGATTATTTTACGGATAATAGAAAAGTAGACGAGCAAAAAGAAATTTTGAAAAATTATGGAAACTCATGGACAGTGTTCGACGAGTACAAAGTAAAGATTATAACTCACGCTTTTATTTTTCAGTTATACAATACTTTTTTGTCTCTCTTTGTCACGTTCATAATTTTCTTAATTTTCATGAATTGTTTGTTACAATATTGTATCAATGAGAATGCAAACGTGAGGCCGAAAGGTTTAATAAAGCTAATTAAACGCGTGCTAGTAACAGAGTGCACCGTCATTTTAAATTGAATCCACATCCCACGAGCGATCATTCACGAAATTAATTGAACTAATTGCCAAAAAATATGAACCAATTGCGAGCGTATTTTTTCGCGCGTGATGTCGCTGTTTTACTGCTATGTGAAATAAATTTAGCATTTACTCTTAGTTGCTAAGGTGCTATCTGACTACCGTGTATTTTCTGTCTGATTTTTTGAGCTGTCCACTGACTTTGCTTCATGATCGGCTGTATCGGTTAGTTTAGCTCTTTTAACATTCCTACGGATTGTTGAAAGAAATAAACGTTATAAATTGATCAGAAAGATGTTGAGTGTGCTGAGATGTTCGCTCGTTAATCGCGGATTACGGGAGTTCACGAAATCATCGGGATTTTTAACAATAAGACTATCGTTGAGCACATCACCGGTTTTCAAAGGCAGTAAAAAGGTACGAAAACTTTCAAATAAAATATGCATGTACCGACGACAACCTTGTACAGTCTCACGGACGAATTTATACACGTTCGTTTTATCGTTTACCTTTTCGCAATTTCGTTGTCCACGATTTTTAAAGCGGTTTGTAACCCGTTTTTATATAATCGTCAAAGAACCAGATCCAAAAATAGTTTTCTAAAGATTATCGCGAAAAAACATTGTGTCACTCGCGAATAATATTACTTGAACATTTTTAAAATATTATGTCGTTTGTAACATAACAATTGAACACAGTTGACATTTAATCATCACTCGTTCACATGAAACACCGGAACATATTGTCTCAACGAGGATAGACGACACGACACGGAGGTAATTGCTTAACAAAAAATAAAATGGTACGAAACGAAATATTCTTATCTCTATTAAAAAATATTTCTTTCAGCAATAATCGTGCCTTTATGTTAATAGTTGTATGTAAATTTGAAGGTTAATAAAACTATTTTGTAACACCAAACTATTTAATTAATGTGATTCATTCGATTTACTTATTTTTTCCTTGAAATGACTGAGAATGTATGATCTTGTAAAAATTTGTTTGTGTATATGCATACATACACTATCCCAGTATACATGTTATCGTAACTAACTGAATTCATTTGACTGACCTTCAATTTCCCCTGCTCTGACTACTGTTAATATCCACTGTGAAACTCTACTTGCTTTGTTGTGTTATATAATTTATTCTTTTAACATGGTACACAAATATTTTTCTTTTACTTTATTAATTTTATATTGTTTTGACAAACTTTTAACATTATAATTATAGGATGGAAGTAAAGAATATCGAATTGAGAGGGATACTTTTGGTGAACTCAAAGTCCCTGCTGACAAATACTATGGAGCACAAACTATGCGTTCGGTGATCAATTTTCCAATCGGCGATACCTTTGAACGCATGCCTGTAAGAAAAAACAGCAGTATAATTTTGCGTAACAAAACTTACAGCTTCTTCAATTCATATCTATTTCTTTAGTATGGCGTCATTGTTGCAATGGGTATATTAAAAAAAGCTGCAGCAGAGACAAATAAGGAACTTGGGTTGGATGCAAAAATAGCAGATGCTATTAGCAAAGCAGCAGATGATGTTATCAGTGGGAAACTTTATAATGATCATTTTCCATTGGTAATTTGGCAAACAGGTTCTGGTACGCAAACCAACATGAACACTAATGAGGTATTTATTACATTATATGTAAATTTGAGGAGTATTATATTGTATTCATTATCATACAATTCATATTCAGGTAATATCAAATCGTGCAATTGAATTACTCGGTGGTCAACTTGGCTCAAAAACACCTGTGCATCCAAATGATCATGTAAATAAATCTCAAAGCAGTAATGACACATTTCCAACCGCTATGCACATAGCTGTTGCTTTAGAAATCAATAGAGTATTGCTTCCTGGTTTGGAATGCTTGTACGAAGCATTGAATGAAAAAGCTAAAGCATGGAAAGATATTATAAAAATTGGTAGGACTCACACTCAGGATGCTGTGCCATTGACGTTAGGTCAAGAATTCTCAGGTTGGTGATAATATATTTTCTGCATTCGTATCCACAGTTAAATACTATAAATTAATACTTTAACGTTACTATAAATTAATATCAATAATTAATTGTAATATTCAGGTTATGCGACACAAGTTTGTAATGGAATTGGTAGAGTGAAAAATACTCTTCCGCGATTATACGAGTTAGCACTTGGTGGTACCGCAGTCGGAACTGGGTTAAATGCACCAAAGGGTTTTGCAGAGAAAGCAGCAGCAAAAATCGCAGAACTGACTGGTTTACCATTTGTAACTGCTCCTAATAAATTTGAAGCTTTAGCAGCGCATGATGCTATGGTAGAAGTGCATGGTGCACTTAACACGATAGCAGTTTCGCTTATGAAGGTAAATTTTGATAAAAGTAACGTACAAAATATTAAAGTGTGGCATTCAATATATGTTTTTTATTTAGATAGCCAATGATATTCGATTTTTGGGAAGCGGACCTCGTTGCGGTTTAGGCGAACTGTCTCTTCCTGAAAATGAACCAGGAAGTTCGATCATGCCTGGCAAAGTAAATCCAACACAATGCGAAGCATTGACTATGGTCTGTTGTCAAGTAATGGGTAACCAAGTTGCCACAACTGTTGCTGGCAGCAATGGCCACTTTGAACTAAACGTATTTAAACCAGTTATAGTTGCAAACACATTGAGATCTACGAGACTTTTAGGCGACGCTTGTACCACATTTACGAAGAATTGCGTTGTGGGCATTAAACCTAATACTGACCATATCAAGAAACTCTTGAACGAAAGTTTAATGCTTGTCACAGCATTGAATCCACACATTGGTTATGATAAGGTATTTATATTCATTTTTGTTTAGTAGCTGAAAATAAATTTCTTATTATATTTCCCGAATGCATTATAAAACATGTTTTGTTTTAGTCTGCTGCAATTGCAAAACAAGCTCATAAAGAAGGTCTAACCCTGAAAGAATCAGCATTGAAGAATGGTATAACCGCGGAACAGTTCGATCAATGGGTTAGACCTGAGAATATGATCGGCCCTAAATGAACATCTAGTTAAACAGGACAGACTTTAGAAATTCATTCTTTTTTTTATTTAACTTACAATTTTTACTTAGTATCCTGAATTTAAATATTATTTATACTGCCGGTTTTACTGAAATTGTTATTGTATATGTAAAATGTTTTTCATACTTGTATATTATATACAAACAGTAATTGTACATTTGATAATTAATGAAAAATGTTACGGATAATAAATATAAAATGTTGCAAATATTCACATATAATGTCTGTACCTTACTCTTATAACCTAACATATATTTATGATTACGGTGTATTTATGAGCCGAAAATCGCGCATGTTATCTGCATTGCAACACGAGAGCATAGGTCGCTGAGGAATCACTATTTCGTATTCAATCACAAACTGAAACAACAGATATAAAATCAGTATGCTATTGAAAATACAAAAAAGTGTTATTCCTAGGTTTGGGGTTCGTTATTATGGAAAAGTTGGAATAATTGGTGTACCATTCGAAAAAGGACAGGTACGATATAAATCAGCATTATAATAACTTTTTATTCATTGAATTTATTCGCAGTGTAAGGAAGGAGTAGCTGATGGTCCAAAAACGATTAAAGCAGCTGGACTAATCCAAGAATTACAATCTTTAGGTAACCATTCTATTCGTTTCTATCAGCTTTCGGTATCTATAAAAATCATCCAGTTAATCTTAATAACGTATATTCTGAAAATTAAATAAGGCTTGGATGTAAAAGATTATGGTGACATTTTGTACAAAACAAAGGATGTGGATGGTGTGAGCAACATGTCACACTTAGGCGATGTCGCTGGTTGCACTAGTATTTTATCTGAAAAAGTTCAAAAGGTTTTAAACGATGGCCGTCGGGTATTAACTATTGGGGGTGATCATAGTGTAGGAATTGGAACTATAGATGGTCATGTAAAGGTGTAGTGTGAAAGAAAAAGATATTATTTATTATTAATTATTTTTAAATTATGCATCGATATTGTATATCATTTTTAAAGGTAAAGAAAGACGTAGGTGTAATATGGGTTGATGCTCATGCAGATCTTAATACTAATAAAACTAGTGAAAGTGGGAATGTTCACGGAATGCCTGTAGCATTGTTAACTTCTGAATTGGCCGATTATTGGCCACATCTTCCAGGCATGGATTGGCAGCAACCAATGTAATTTTTGCAAATATTTACACATCAAAATTAATGACATTAAACATGATTAAAAATATATTTTATTTGCAGGCTATCAATTAGAAATGTGGCTTATATTGCATTAAGATCTGTAGATCGTTATGAGAGATTAGTGATTGAAAAATTTGGTATCACTGCTTATGGGATGGAAGATGTTGAACGATATGGTAGTGTCTCCAAATTGCTGGTACATTCTAAACGTTAATCTACCCCAACATTTACTAATTCATACTTTCTGCCCAGGTATTCACGATGTTGTGAACATGGCAGTAAATAAAATAGATCCTGATGATTCAAAGTCGTTGCATGTTAGTTTTGATATCGATTCGCTTGATCCTTTGGAAGCACCAAGCACAGGAACTCCTGGTAAAAGAATTCCTCTTTATTATTAATATGGGCTTTACCAAAATAATTCCTGTTATAATTCTTAAGAAAATTGTAGTGCGTGGTGGATTATCCCTTAGAGAAGCTGTTCATTTAATGGAAGAATTATACAGAACAAACAGATTGAATGCTGTTGATCTTGTAGAAGTAAATCCTCGCATCGGTGATTCACGTGACGTTCGTTTAACCGTCGAGGCTGCTATACATATTATTCAAGCTGGTTTTGGCTATACAAGAAGAGGTCTTAAGGTTCCGAAGGGTGTTACTGACATGCCATTACAAACATTTAGATAGCAGTTTGATCATATTTATTCTTACATTAGCATACATATGTAAACATAATCAAGTTATCATATTTTCTCTTGTCTGGAGTTTGTACAATAATAAACTTTTATACATTTTTAGACAGTACCATAAAAATATAACAGCAAAACAAAAAGCAATAATGTATTTCATGGAGCTACTTTTTCAATTTCCTTAATTATAAAAACTTTGTCTGGAATATCGGCAAATTTAATTTCCAACCTTGTTATTTCTGGATTTTCGGGTACTGCGAGTAGCACTTCGCAATCCAGTACACCTTTAGTTTTAGATCCTTTCAAGTTGACCGAAAATTTTCTAATATCATCTGTTTTATCAGAGAATAATATTCGTCCTTCTTTTATCGGATCTCCTAAATGTAGTACAGCCTTCTCATGATTATGAAGAATCTCTAACGCTTCTTTATAAATTTTCGTTTTACGAAGCCGTCTCTGAAACATGTTCCTCATATGATACCCGAAACCTGCGACGACAAAGCCTCCAATTGCCGCTATTTGTGCTAATTTCAGAATCGAAATGTTTGCGGTCATCTGCATAAAAAAAGCGTATCTTAATCTATGTTAGTTAGTATTAATACAGCAGGTGCTACGTTTCGAAAATACTATTTGTATAAATACATTTGAGATGCAAAATTGCACAAAATTTTTAGGTTAGATTTTACTATGAGAAGTAACGCTTAAATTGTTAAGGTTCTTATTAAATCACAGTTATACAAATTATTTAAACAAATGCATTGAGTATTTACCTTTCTTTTAAATACAACTTGTATTTCAATCAATCTGTCAATCAATCAACTAGTTTTCTTGCATTTATACGCTCTCCGCGTAACCTCCCTACGTTGCCACTGCCATTTTTACGAAATGGTGAGGACTTTCAGTCGTTTCTATATATATTTACACGTATTCTTGTTATTCGCGTGAATGTATACTGCTAAAAATAAAACTACGTCTTGTTAGATCTGTACAGCATAGGAAATAATGCTTCTATACTCCATAAATAAAGAATCAATACAGCAAAACTTAATTGTTTCGATTATGTATGGGTAAGGAACACGCTTTTTCAATAATAAGATTGTCCGATGTATTTCTTTATTTCAACAAACACAATATTTCTAATATTTGCACAATGCATCAGAACAACTGTGTTGCTGTAGGCTAAGAATGTTTAATCCCAGCTCGGGTACAGTTAGTTAACACTTTTCAAGTAAATTACACATTGGTGATGGAGTGATTCGAGTAACGAGATGCGTTTATTTTTACGCGTCAATGTTACTAGTTAATTTAATCTTAGATACATATGGGCATTACAACAATATACACTAAATCCGTAAGCTTAATATGCTCCTCCCTCTGATAGAGAGCGAACTCTACATGTCGTCAAGTATATTTCTCTAGATAAATATACGTATTCTCGGTGATATAGTAAACTTTGCTCACACATATTTCGATAAAATCTTTATGTACAAAAAATTACAAAAACTGAATTCGTCACGAAATCCGCGTAGACGTATACAAAAATGAAGATCGTATAATTCACGTACAATAAGAGGTATTCCATAGAGCGCATACATAGATTATCAGAAATTGTATCTTATGTAAAATCAATATACACATTATAATATATAAAGTAAGACTAGATGCGAGTGTCACGGGATCCTACCTAAACTCTACGGTCAATAGAAAGTGTGATTCGAGACACAACTTAGAAGCAAAAATCGCCTGCCTCAACGCAAGTGTATGCGGCACAACAACGGCGGAAAGCGTACTGGCAAGAAGAAGAGAGCAAATTGTATTCCTCAATATTTAATATCTTTTTTTTCCTGATTTCCATCGATCTTCCCGTAAGTTTTACGGTATTCTCACTAAGTGGGACAGAGGACTGAAAATAAAAAAAATTATCTCTCTAGTATAGATTCAGACAAACCCGGTGAAATTGTTCAAACTCCGTTACCTTTGAGTATATAAGCCGTTAATAAAGTAGGTACGGTTGGGCTATCTTCGTTAATCGCTTTTAATACTGCAACAGAACACACCATTTAAATGTGAAACCATAGTCATCAGTGTTTGTTTGCTGGTACTTACTTTTTATGAGAACCTGTAAGGTTTGGTTGTCTGGCGGGCCACTATCCGTATGGTATGGGATTACAGTCGTCAAATACTAAAAATAAGATCAACGTTATCGTTTGTCGTTATGTACTAGCGTACATCTGCGATAAAAAAAACGTTTATCGCCCGCTACCTTAGATTCCTGTAGAGATCTATGCTGTGGCAAAGGACTAGTACCATTCTGCATTTGATTTCGCTTTTTCGTAACGTGGTGCTGCCTACGACGGTTTTGTACTGCTAACAACAACGAGACGAACTGATTTTTCAGCTCCTTCTCGTACTCTAATTCGTCCCTTAGCGCTAATTCGGCGATCAGAGTTTCGCTCAGAGCCCCCACCAACGATTCCATCTCACCGAGGAGCTCTATGAGTTGACCAGAGCTGAGTTGTTTCAGTTCTAAAACGAACATCAACGATTTAGATCCGCGAGGTCACGTATCGCGATACGATTTAAGGTCGATTCAAACTGTAACGACACGGACCGTCACGTTCCGGCAACGACACGTACCGATACCGACACGACGAAACATTGGAACACGCGTTTTAATGGAACTATTCACACTATTCCCATTGACGGAACGTTCAGGTCGGTGTGTGTTAAGTGTGAATATTTCCATTAAAACGCGTGTTTTAATGTTTTGTCGTGTCGTTGCCGGAACGTGTCGTATAGTCTGAATCAACCTTTATTGTTTCAGATCGAATAGTATACTTTTTTCGTGAAGCGGCGAACCGAGAACCTCTCTGCTCCTCTCCAGCGCTTCGTCGCTGTCCAATAAGGAACCATCCGAGTCTGGCGATCTCTCCATCGATGAACTCTCCTACGAGAAACGATCGTTTACTTCGATTTGTTTATTGATCCCTTCTTAAGAAGTAGGAATTAAATAGCAACACACTTGCCTGCATTATGTCGTCTATTTCACGGAGAACTTCCTCGGCAGTCTTCAACGGTTCCTCTGGGCTGTGCGTGTCGGTGCTGCTGGACAAGATCAAAGCATGCATGTCCAAATCAGTTGCGACAGCCTCGTCTTCGCTACTTAAATCCTCTAGTTCCGGTCTACAGCAAACAAAACGAAAGCGTCCAATTGTGCGAGAGTAACTTCCTCTTTCCACTCGTCCCCTCGATGATTACAGCAACGAAAGCGGCAAAACGAACTTGGACCCAACGCAGGATCGCGAAAGGTTGAACGATTAAAGAAAACAACTCACCTGTCGTTCGAGATCGGAGCCTCGTTCAGGTTGAGCGCGGGCATGTGCATTTTCCTCGCGTACGATTTACTCCAGTCGATTGGTAGTATGTTACCGAAAGTCCCGGTAATCGTCCACCACATTCTGAAAGGATCGTTAATTTCGTATCTGTACAACATTTCGATCTAAATTCGAGGAAATTCACGATGAATTTATTCGTCCGTGGACTGTGAACGAACAAATAAATATTGATCGAACTGCGGATATTCGTGGCACACACGATACGTAGAAAGCACGTTTGGGATTTTATACATGTACGCATAAAATAATATATGTATTTTTATTACACGGAATGTATAAACAAATAAAAGTCATTGCTCCGACGATCGACAATTTATCATTCTCAAACACTGTTATCAATGAATAACTGGAGCACACATCGGAGCAAAAGTTGTGGCACGCCTAAAAAAAATTCTTTGTAAATGTGACTCCAAAAGGGAAACAAAAGAAGTTAGAGCGTCTTGGACAGAACTTTTTTTCTGGAGTATACAAACTCCATTGAGGCGTGTTACTAATTATGCGCACACCGCACCAGCTGACTCATATCCTCTCGCTAAATGCCTCTCTGACGTTTTCGAACTATGAATCGAATTAGCAGCTTCTATTTTTCGCTTTCTAACGCCTAACAGTTTCTCGGGATTCACGGTCAAGCCCTTCGATCGCTTTATTTTCAGCCGTACGCGGACAACCCACGCGGTATCAATTCGTATTGCCTACAATTAAGTCCGGAAAGTAGGCTTGAAACCAGTGATGGACAAAACCCTAGGCTTCGAACAAAATCTGAAGTTTGCGAAATGTTTGTCTCGTTTCCTTTTTTGGAAAATGTTCAAAAGAGAAAACGAGACAAACGTATTGACAAACTCCAGATTTATTCGGAGCCTAGGGTTTCGTCCACCACTTCTTCGAACTATATTCGTATAAACCTTCCAACGTCCTTTTAACTCGTTGGGGCACGGTGGGATTAAAAGTGTCCCACCTTATTGATGGATCGTAATGCATGGTGGGACGGTTTTAATTCCACCTCGAAATTTTGCAATAGCTGCACGTGTATAGGTGCGATACCTTTATTAATAAAAATATAACAATTTTGTTTGATTTAAAACGCAATAAAATTCCTGTGCAACGTGGGTCTATTTTATGACCTGAATTCCTGTGCCGCAAAGAGTTAAGTGAAATAGTTGTAAGTAAGATGAAATTTAAGGAACGTTCGTCGAGGCATCGAACTCTGATCTAGATCGGAAGGTGACGAAAGAAGCCGAGGATTCCCAGGCCATTTGTCGGCTCGTTAAACGCCTGCGAAAGAAGCGATAAGATTCTGCAGTCGACGACACACGGTTCTGCTAGATGTACGTTTTCTGGGGATAGCGTGTGAATCATGCGACTCGTAGGCGTTTCCTGGGCTATATGCACGTATACATGCAGGACATAGATAAAGGGGCACACTAGATCCAGCGTAAACAGAGAACAACTTATTTCGACAACAATAGCGGCCATTCTAAGGAAATGAATCCTTGGGTGAAATTGGCGGCGATGCCCGTGAACGGGCAAACGAATGAGCCCCGTTTCTCACACTTCTCATTTGTAAACAATTAGCCGTTGCGTAAGCGAACGAGACTATCGTGGTATTTATAGATCGACTAGTTTCATTGAATTTAATCGACTTTAACGGCTGTGATTTTCTTTTGCGATATGACGAGTTATTCTCGAAGAGGTGTTTGTTCGATGGTTGTCTCTGAAAGAAATTTTGCAATCGACTCGATGAATTTATTGTACTTAGAGAACGATATTTAAAAATTGTATGCTACGTTAGATGACTTGGACGTTAGAGAGACTTCATAGAGTAGTGTGAATCGTATTTGATCAGTGACAGCAACGTCCTAATGGTGACTTGAATGCTTAGGTCATAGACGTGGGAACCCTTTTAATTGAGAGCGATTATCGTCGACCTGTGTCTCTTCGTGGTCGCTCAATGAACCCTAAATTGTTTTGTATATACTATAAATGTTTCCAAGTGCTTTACAGCGTAATTAAGTAAACGTTTTCGAAGGAGGACCTGAAAGGAAGGGGTCGAAAACGTTGATTGGATTGGCTTGTAAGAGACCATTTAAATACTCGAGGCTTAATCATTCTTATTGATTAAATTGACGGTTTCCGCTTTGAGCGTGCAGGGTGTTCTATAGAATTTACCCAAACAAATATCTCTAAGCCATACCATTATATAATTTTGATATTTATTTCTCTAATAAATGCTTTGTTATTTTGCGGTAGGATCATTTAATACCATCAATTTACTAGGACTACTCAACGCAAATTCGTAACAGCCAGAACCTTGATTAACTTGTAAATAATATTTTGCGGTAGGATCATTTAACACGTTCACTGGCAGACTAATACTCTTGAAAATTTCTACTGCGATTTAATTTTGTTTACAGACTTTTGGAAACTGCGTAATGAAATATTTATTTTGATATTTAGTTCTGTAACTTCATCAAAATTCAAGTATTTCATTTAAAGTCATTTTCTATGACACTTAACTTTCAGAATTAATAGTTTTCGTTTTTCGGTGAAAAGCACCGTCACCCATATATGGGCGACGTGGCGATCAACGTGTTAATATAAATGCTTTGTTATTATATCACTAACTACTTTAATTTATATCTCGGAAGCTATTAGCTTCAAGGTAGACGTTCCTTCGCTCTCTTATCCCGAATACTTTCTCGAGTCCTGTCATAAAAGAGTGAACATTCCATCCGAGATTCCAACGATATTGAGATGGCTTGTTTCCAGCGGGACACCGTGCAGCAAGCCGCGACGACTCTTAGAAATAAAAGGAGCGCACAGCAGAAACAGCGGGTCGGTCGATGGTGTCGGATTAACAAATGGAGGTCAATTCGACCCACTTGAGTTTCTCATTAATGTTAAGTGCATTAAAGCAGTGACTTCATCCTGCACGTACGGCGATCGCATCGAAACGAACGTCTAAACATTGCCTGTCTGTTGCGGCAGCTGAAAAAATCGTGACTTGGCAAAAAGGTTGTAAAACCTGTGTTCTTCAACCAGTCCCGTTGGTTGAGTTCTGACCTTTCCAATTGTCGCTACAAAAATTGAAACGTTCCTTGCATCTATATCAAGTAAAAAAAAAAAGAAAGAAACGATATTCACCGAAGTTACGTTACGTATGAAAGGGTTGAGGCTTAAGGGAGAGCGGTAAATGGTATCTATTTGCCCTATCGCGTACTAGCTACCCTGTGTATCGTGTCAATAACGGGGAAAAACGACGGGAAATTCAATTCCAGGAAAGGACTATCTCCCGCTTATTAATTCATTCTTCGGTTCAATGATCCGCGACGAGTCTCGCACACTTGCGTAACATCGATGGTTTGCGAACGAAAAACAGTCCTAAATGTATCATCGAACGATAATGAAACAGTCACGAGACAATTTATTTCTCGATTATTTGTACGTCAAGGAATGAATGAACGAATCCAACCAAGCGGTCGAACTCCCATCAGAAACGATCAACTTTGCAGGAATTGTCCTCGTTACATTTCCAATCGCTCTACATCAAGGTAAAGAGTTGAACGTTCGCAGCGATAAAAAAAAAAAAATATCATCTGTCACCTTTTCGTCAAACTTTTCACCGCTTAGTTGTCTCGTACATTCGTCGATGGCGCGTACATGCTTGGCGATAACAAAGAAATCGTAGAGGTACGATTTAGGTGACCGACATGCATCAGGAGGTTACTCTTTCCTAGAATAATTTCTACTAGCTCTTAACGCATTGAAATTTCGCAACTTATCCTAACGGCGGAGATTTCCGAAGATGGCCACCGTCTGGATCGAAAGCTTAAAAAATCGACGCTCAGACGTAACGTACGTACACCTGTCCAGTGGCTAATATTTCTTTTACGATCGGGAATGAATTTAACAGGGCGAAAGAGACGGGAATACACGCGATAGCCGAGGAATATCATCGCGTCGGTGGTCGCTTTCCTCCGTAGGGCGCACGCGCTGCTTTATTGACGTTCGTCCATCCGGAGGGTGGCTCGATACGAACGACGGAACAAAACACAGAGATCAAATTTTCATGCCCTCCCGCATTCGATCATGCACGATTTTTTGCCACGAAGCGATCGCGTTACCGACTGTCCGACACAGTGGTGTCCAGATTTCGCAGAGATGGGCAAAACCCTAGGCTTCGAATAAATTTGAAGTTTGCCGATGTGTTTGTCTCGTTTCCTCTTTTGGAAGATATTCAAATGTCGGAGAACTTGAGATTTATTCGAAGCCTACGGTTTTTCCCATCACTGAGATTTCGTAGTAGTAAAGTTACGATTCGTTCGACTCCGGCAACGTTTCTTCCTAATTATTTCCAAGTTACGTTACAGTAATGTTACGATAGAACCGCTTGACTAGATGAAGACATTTTTTGTTCGTTGCTCGTGGAACAAAAATGAACTCTACGTTCGTATTCTCATCATGGTAGCGGTCAGAATTATTTTTGGGTGGCGCGTTTTGTCACGCCAGAGGTGACCTCGAAGCGTTGACTTCGGTAATCGTTTCGTCCACGTCAAAATGTTGAAGTTCGAAGTGTCTCAGCGAGAGGTCAGCGACCGACGTTCGCAGATTGCGACACGTGCAACAGCACGTGTCTCGTTTCATTGCTGTCGCTTTCGTATGCATGCATCAGGCCCCGAAAGAATAAAACGCATCCACGCGTGCATATCCGGTGTGTGCGTCGCGAGATGGCATTGTTGGTAATCCAATTTGTCGCGTGCAGACGCCCCGCGTTGGCTGGTATCGTGGTTTGACGAACGAAATATCACGGGTCAAGCAAGGTCGTATTCGTTTACCTCTCCGAGCCGGATTCTCCTTTTAAAACACGCCGAAACACGGTAGCTCACCGCTCTGTTTTCTTTTTTCGCTCGCGCAAACACGAAAGCCTTCCATACCCCCGCAGTAACCAACTTCCTTTTCTTTCGTTCTTTTTCTCCGCTTTTCTTTCCTGGCCCCCTTTTGAGATCGAGGTTCTCGTGCGCGCGACGACCTCTCTTTCTCGCGTTACGCGTCAAAAGCCGTGAAATAGTCGGTTACCTCGGCAATTTGGACGAACGATGACTCAGCGACTAGCAGAATTATTGGCATACGCGCGAGGAGTAACGGGGATACGAAAGATAAAAAAAAAAAAAGCGGTTCAACTCTTCGAGGTATATGACGCGAAAGAAAAATTTTCGATAAAACGTTACGGTCGAGCTAGCTTCAAAGAGTTAAGAAAGGGAATTATCATAAAAAGTTCTCAGCGCACGTGAAACGGAGTGAATCTAATTATGATTGAAAGAATGGACGAGGATTACGTACAGTGTATCCGATTACACGCGCGACTGCAGTTACGTTCATGCTAGATGCGTTTGCTACGAAACTGTAAACTGCAAAGTCCGTTTACGAAAAGAAAAAGTCGGTTGCGAGTCGAACAAACTTCGAGTGGGAATATTATAGTTGACGAAAGTGCTGGTATAACGCATGCACAGCTGCCATGCGTTAATCAGCGGTTACATCGCTGCGAAAGAACAGCGTGGGTCATCGCGAACCCGCCCTAACACGCGATGGTTGGCCCTTACAAAAACATCGCGGGAATTTTGTCTCTCGTGCCGATGTAAAGTCCCTCCTCAAAGCAGGAGTCCGGTCGTTGTTCTTGTTTTATTGTCTTCCACGAATTCCTTCCGATCGGTTTGACAAAAGTCTAGACGGAACTTGCACGCTGGAGGCGCGACTTCAAAGAAATTATGCACAACGGTGGACAGCGAAGTTCAAACGAGTTTAAGAGCTCTAGCGCGTTACTCTACACCGAAGAAGATACAATTTTACGCTTCGTTGGGCTTCACCTGCAACCTCGTGGCGCTCGTTAGAAGGCGCAATTCGGCCGGACACCTGCAGGGTTGCTACAATGGACAGCCTTCTCTGAAAATATTTACCCCGAGTCCCTTCGACTTCGTCCACGCGAATTTTGACTTTCCTTAGGGGAAACGCTTTTTCAGCTGACCATACAAATTTTTCCTTGCCTTGAACAATCATTTCTACGTCTACCGTTTCTATCATTTGGATATTCTACAAAATGAAGCATTATGTAACTAAATTTCGTGTACTTCTACACGCTTGGCGCTAAAATGACATTCTTATGTCGAACGTTGAGATTGAAAATTGTTCGCGAAACGATTACTGGGAGTTGAATCCTTAGTCTAATTAGAAGGTGAGTTTCTTTCTTGTTCTAGCGCACTGTCCACCTTCGCAGAGAGAAAGCTGCAGAACGTGCCGCAAACGTCATGTAGAGAGTACCCGTAGCGGCACACTTTTCATTGGAAAATCGATATAGCGATCTTAGGGATCAGGCTTTGCAGCGAGTACTATGCATCACACCGGAATGACTCTCGTTTCACTTTGTACTTTACCAGAATGTTCCTTCCCAAGAACGAATTTGTTACAAATGACGAGCTGTAAAGAAAACGTTTGCTTTAATATCGTGATAGAGAGCAAAGAGAAGAAAAAAAAAATGTTCGAGTACTTCCCTCGCGAGACCAATGACCAACAACTGCATCGTCCGTCGCGTGTTTGTTTTGAACGTATCAATCGTCGGATTCACCGTAGCTTCACCGAAACCATACAAGTAAATATCGTCCAGCGATATCGGTTTAACTCGCGCATCAAAGTGAAACTGTTACGCGTCTTACCGTGAGCCCGAAGAAAGCGTTAACACGAGTATTACTTAAACAGGATATATTATCCGCGAACAGGCCCATTGAGAGGCGTGATCTCTCTCTACTTAGGACTTTTTTCCCAAGATTTTATCGATACGATAAATTCCACGATCGTAAAACGAGAGCTGCCGAGAGACCGGCGTTCTTTGAATTATGTCATCGGAATACCACCGGCGGCTGGTAATTGCGATTCGCGTGCGTACTAATATAACGGCGATGCCCGTAAACGATTACTTCCGTTCGTCTGGAACGCGACGTACTATCATTACCACGGCGGCGATGGTACGCGATGGATCGCGAGACGCGTAATGGATATCTCAAGGTGAATGCGACAATTTGAACGCGATAACTCGGGTGATCTTCAGGGTATTCATTTACCTCGAGCCGCTCGCCACCAGCGGTGGTTTATTTTTTTAATCGTACCAGGTGGTCGTACAGGACCGGTATAACTGTACCCGGAGATATCGCGTGACCCAAGGATAATGGAAACTTCTCAATCATATACGCTTACTGACATCATTTTCACTCGCGTTTGTCGCGTTCGTTTTTCTTCCGTAAAATTACTCGAAACGGTCGCTCGACGAGCTTGTGTACCGAATCCACGCCACAGCTCCGTGGGCGCTGTTACGACGACAGTTTACGTTTGCCGAGTGTTAACCCTTTGCACTCGTGGCGTTATGTTAGAGAAATAAAGTAAATTTAAAGTTTAACCGATGCGTTTTTATTTTTTTTAGTTCCGAAATTTCCGCCACGGATTCAGCATGATCACGCTTGTGGAAGCGTGTTCATCTTAGTTTTATTTTATATTTCTAAGAAAGTTCTTTGTTCCTTTTGTGATATTTATTTTTACTTATGTTATCGATATATTATATATTGTACGATTTAATAAATAAACTTTAATAATATATTTCTAAGACATTATTTTCTGGTATCTACCAGCATCTCGAGGTGCTTTCTTAGCTTTCTATTGTCGCGAATGTTAAGCTCGGATTGACTTCGTAAAGGAGATCTCTAATATGAGATTTGAGAATCAGGTCACCTTTTATTGGCACTTCGAGTTCCAAAAAAATTAAAGCTAAAAAAACATCATTGCTGATCGATTTGCTGCGTCGGATCTAATGGTGACCGAGAGTCACCTCTCGAGTGCAAAGGGTCAATGTATTAGCGTTAGTGTATGTAAAATATTAGGTGTCGGTACTTGAAAATGGAAAGTGTATAAGTGATCGCGTGAACTCACTGGCACTCGTTCATGATCTCCTCTTGCGTTCGCACCTGCACGGGCGCCAAAGATTCGACGTCGGTCCCGTAATCGCGAAAGCAAGATGTTATCTTCTCGTCAAAGGTATTAACAAGGTCCTCGAGACTACCGCTGAAGGGGCTGAACGTCCCCTCGTGGAGGGTATCGGCGGTGCCATTTTCGTTGGTCGTCGTAGGCGGCTCGTTCGCGTTGCAATTCTCGCCGTAATCCGCCTCCAGACTGGCGTCCAGCAATTGTTCTAAATATAAAAAGAATCCTCAAGTATAGTCGTGCAGCGAGCAAAACTTTGGGAAACGTTAAGGTACACGATAATAAAAGCATCGTATGCGTTTCTATCGATTTCTCGACGAGAAACGCTTAAATAGAGCTACAGTTGCATGCAAAAGTTTCCGGCCAAAAATAATGTTGGAATTAAATTATGTATAATGGGTGTAAAGTAGAAATACAAATATATCATAGTAAAGAGCTTTTATTATACTATCGAAATGTACAACTCAAGAATTTCATACAACAAGTAATAATTATTTATAACAAAAATAACAATTTTTACTTCTTCATAAGTATCCGGCCGAGTACAAAACATGAAGAAAAAACACGATAACTGAAGGAAAAATGTTCAGAAATGGTTACAAATGTAACATTATCATCAATATTTAGTAACCATACC